ATATAATGAATCACACTATATAGTGAAGTTTTTTGCCAAAACAAACTCGAGCGCCAACTGTATACGCAATCATTTTTCGTAACACTTGAAATTTCCTTTTTTAAACAAATTATATAAAAAATGACCGAAAACCTCCTTTTTTAAAGATTTTTTGTTAAAATTGACAATGTTATCATCTTCTTTATTGTTATTAAAAAATCCTTTAAACAACAATTCCCTAAAGCCGCCTATTTCTGTTCTATATATTGCAGTGCCAGATATACTAATGATAGTTGCAGCAACCGTTTTAATGAAACAATTAGAAATGAATATTGACGACAATTTTTTTTAAATATTGGTGTGGTATATATTATAGTATGGATTTTTTTAAATAATTGAATGTTTATGATGAATTTTAATGATAATTGAATATTTTGTTGTAAATAAATATAACGAAGCCATATTTTTATAATATTCTCCTTACTAATAAATTTATGTCAGTTAATAATCTTTATAAATCCTTATTTGATAGCGAATTGGAACTTAAAAAGGCTCATTAATTGTTGGTAATGTAAAATTTGAAAAAAATAATTTGCCAAAAAAGATTTATCAAAATAATTTACTAAAAAAAAATATTCATTCAAAAATGAATACATTTTTATCCTTATAAATACAACATTGGTATCAAAAGAATTTATTCAGGGAATGATCATTATCAATAATCAATTTTATTTCTTATTTTTTTATCAAAAAACAGGAGAATTTATATAATTTTAACTTTTCATTAGCATAAATGAAATTTCATCTCATAAAATAAGTTTGTTATTAAATAGACATTAAAATTTATCAATTTATCAATAATTATTTTTACACTAAATCAATATAATTTTAATGGCCACTTGAAATTAAACTTTTAATTATTTACAAATTAATAATAACATGGCAAAGAAAGAAATATTTTTTGCTAAATTAACAAATTTAGTGCGGGATGAATTTTCCCATGGTAATTGGATTATAGTATTTGGAAGACAAAAGGAATTGTCTTTAGTGGAATTATCTAAAAAAGTTAATATTTGGTCATTGAGACAATGGTTGTTAATTAGCAACATATATTTTAGGATAATCAAAAGACAATTATTATTTATTTTGAAAATATAAGGAGCAATTTTTTCACCTTGTTCCTTTTTTAAAATAATTCTAATGGTGCTATAATTCTTGGGTTCCATGGTAGACCTAATGTAAATTAACTTCATATTAACTATTTTTATATTAATATAGAGGTAATTCTATATACCACTTAATATTAAGAGGATAACAAATGGAAAATTTTAATAATCACATTACTAAATTTTGATCCCTGAAATCTTTGGTAATACCAATGTTCACTTTGTCTGGTTTTGTTGCAGTATGCTCCATATTATATACATGTAAAAAATTTAATTCATTGTGATTTACATAGTGGTAATATATTAATACATGGAGGTACTTGTTATATTGCAGATTTGGGATTATGTGGACCAGTTGATGAAAAATCATCAAATAAAATCTATGGAATTATATCATATCTTGCACCTGAGCTACTTGGAGGCACAAATAATACAAAGAATACAAAAGAAACAGATATTTACGGGATGCTAATGTGGGAAATATTTGCAGGACATCCACCGTTTGACAATAGAGCTCATGGTCATCATTTAAATTTTGATATATGTGAAGGTTTACGACCACCAATATCACCTGAAATGCCTGATGAATATGTACAAATGATGCAGAAGTGTTGGGATATGGATCCATCAAAAAGACCAACTATTAGAGAGCTTTTGAACTTTGCTTATAATAAACATCAAGAAATTCTTAATAATGATGATGGTGATGATGATAATCATAGTAATATTAGCAATAGTAGTATGGTTTGCAGTAAGCACACAAATCACATCCAGATGCATATCATACAAGTAGAATATTAGATGATGAAATTACTAAATCTAAAAACTTAAAATTTTATACAAGTAATGATAGTAGTTCATTAAATCTTTGTTTTAACTCTCTTCACTTAAATTAATTTTTCATTACAAATTGATTGGGAATTACCACTTATTAATTATTGGTAATAATTTTTTTTTTTTGTAATAATAATAGTATATTCCTAGTTTATTTTAATACATTAAACCTATTTACTATATGTAGCTTAGGTTTAGATAAATATTCATGTAAACTTTTTATGTTTCAAAACTCGAGTAATAATAAATGACTTCATGTATGAAAATCTAGATTTGTGCAATATAATTTTATAGAGTATTTTCGTTTAGAAATATGAGTCATCGCTAATATATACAAGGGAAATTTCCAATTAAAACACAATCGAAATTATTTTCAATTTTCTTAACCTTATAATAATAAATGGGAGACAGTACAAAAGGATAATAATCAGAGGTAATTAGACTAAATCTTTTTTTGTTTGATTTTATTATATTATTTATATCTAATTAACGTATCTATATTTATTATAGCTGTGCCTACAAGACGATGGCGAAGTCTTTGCTTGAAAATAAGCAGTTTACTTATAACAGGCGGCTCAAGAAGGACAGTCATTTCATATGGTGATAGATGCTTTTCCCCTCGTTCAATATTTTGCATCAAGGCCGGTAAATAAAATTTGTAATGAATTTATCGATTATAAGTTAATCTTATTTGATACATTGATAAGTTTTTTCTTGGCATAAATGCTTCATAGTTGGCCAGTAAAGGATCATCACCAAATTTTGAGTAAAAAAATTTTTTTTTTAAAAAAAAAAAAATGGAACCAATTTATGAAAAAACATGTACTTCTCCAGTTAACATTGCTGTAAGTTTAATTTTTTTGAAAGTAATAAAAAAAAAAAAATCACATCAATTAATAATAAATCAATGATGATATATATATATATATATACTTTTAATAAACTAATAATAATAAAAAATAAAGGTGATAAAATATTGGGGAAAACGTGATTCAAAACTTATATTACCTACAAATTCATCATTATCGGTGACGTTATCCCAAGACCAATTACAAAGTAAAACTACAATTCGTGCTTCACCAACTTTTAAGAAAACAAGATTATGGCTTAATGGTGTTGAACAAGAAACAACAAACAATAAACGGTTACAAAATTGTTTGAGAGAAACTAGAAATTTGCGTAAAGAGCATGAGGAGAAGTGTAAGAAGGAAGAGGGGAAGGATGTTAATGTTGTACCTTTATCAGAATATAATTTACATATATGTTCCGAAAATAATTTTCCTACTGCAGCGGGATTAGCATCCTCGGCATCAGGATTTGCATGTTTGGTATATACTTTAGCCAGTTTATATGACTTGATTGACTTACAACAGCAACAGCAACAGCAACAAAAAAGTTCCGAAGAATTATCAAAGATTGCAAGACAAGGATCTGGGTCAGCTTGTCGTTCATTATTTGGAGGATTTGTTGCTTGGGAGATGGGTAGTAGGGATGACGGGAGTGATAGTTGTGCTAAACAAATAGCTAGCGAGATGGATTGGCCAGAGTTAGAAATTTTGGTTTGTGTGGTTAGTGATGCGAAAAAAGGCACCAGTAGTACAGAAGGAATGCAAACCACCGTCAACACATCGACACTTTTGCAACATCGAATCAACCAGGTGGTACCTGAACGTATGAACTCGATGATCAAAGCAATCTCAAATAAGGATTTCAACAAATTTGCAGAACTTACCATGAAAGATTCTAATCAGTTTCATGCAGTATGTTTGGACACATTCCCGCCAATATTTTATCTTAATGATATATCACGTGCCATCATACAATTAATCACTGAATATAATAATAGTAGTGGAAGCGGTGATGGAGATGTTAATTACAAAGCAGCTTATACATTTGACGCAGGACCAAACGCGGTTATATACACGCTTAAAAAACATGTTCCAGAATTAATTAATCTCATTTCAAAATATTTCCCTAGCATTAGTGTTAGTAGTAGTAATGAAGATAAGGAAGATTTTTTTAATGATCCATTTAATTTATTTCCAGATAGATCAACAATTGGCAAGCAATCATTGCCGTTAAATTTCAATGAAAAGGTTATTCCTATATTTCCAAAAGGTAGTATAAAACAAATCATACATACTAAAATTGGTGATGGACCAAGAATCATATTTAATGATAACGAATCGCTATTGAATTCTGAAGGATTTCCAAAGAGATTCAATAACTAATTTAATAATTATCAATTCTTTAGTTAGTTTTATTATGTTATTATTATTATTATTATTATAATTAATAAAATAAAATATTTATTTAAATAATTTCATTTGACTTCTTTGCACGATGCCTTGCAATTATATATATATATAATTCATTTATAAATATCAAAACCAAATTCAAAGGTTTTAATCTCGAACGACATATTGTGTGTTTATGATTATAAGTGTGTATATGTATATATATAATGATTTTATTAAAGTTTTTTTCCGTGTTGTTATTGTTTGTTGCTATTATTATTATTATTATACTTTTGTCTTTCTAAATTTTCATCAATATACAAAAATTAATAATTATTTTAAAATAAAAATTTAGAAAAAAATTACAAAAAAAAATAAGCCCTTTTTTTTTGACCAAAAATAACAAAAAATATTTTTCCAATAATTCCAATTAAAAAAAATAATAATAAATATAATATAAATATCAAACAGATTTAATTAAATATATAAAAGATGAAGAAACAAAAAATTCTAAATTAAATTAAATGTTAATTAGAAAAATAAAAATAAAACAATTCAATTCAAAATAAATATATAAAAATAAATATATATAAAAAACAAATATCAATAAATAAATTTAAAAATTGTAAACTAAAAAACTAATTAAAAAATGTATAAAAATTATTTATTAATAATTATTTTTGAATTATTTTATTCTTATTGTCTCTAAATTAAAAATATGGCTAATAAAACAATTACTATAATGGTAACACCTGTTGAACTATAAAAGGTAGCTTTTCTACACCTACTTCTCCATTTATAATCTTCAGGAGTTGCAGGAGTTTCAGATTTGGGAAGATAGAAAGAACCGAGCCACCATAAAGGAAAAATCAAAAAGCCTGACCAAAATAAATATTTAGATATTATTGTTGCATCTTCATTATTGGTTATTATTTCATTGTCATTATTATCAGGTTTAACATTAATAGTTTCATGTGATTTTTCAGAGAATTCAGTTGATAATACGATAGATTCTAAATCAGTTGATTTCTTGTTTGTTGCATCGTAAGGTGATAAATTGTTGTTGTTGTTATTAATATTTGATTCAAGATCTCTATTGTAATAATGTCTTGTAACAGTTTCACCTTCTATAACTTTAGCTAGATAAGTAGAGGGAGTCATTGTTTCTGAAGTTATATTAGAATTAGTATCGTCATCACCATCACCATCAATTGTAATCTTCATGTGATTTATCACTTCTTCTCCATCCTCGTCGTCACTTTCATTATCACTAACGTCTTCCGGATTACCCGATAATATTGATTGTATCGATTGTAAAGAAAATGGACGACCGGTAGAACGCAATCTGATGCTAGGAGCATCACTATATCTAATAGATTTTTTGTCGTTTTCAGTATTATTACCATCATCTTTTGAATGAGCTTTTGGTGGTGGTGAAGGAAGTGATGTTTCATAAATATTGCTACCTATAGTTCTATCACTACCATTATTGCTATTATTATCATCATTAGTATTATTGTTGTTGTTTTCAAGATTTAATTTAATATCTATTTCCAAATTTTTGGTTTCACTCAACCAATCCAATACCGAAGGCTCAAACCAATCCGACCATTTTTTTGTTAATTCTGACATATCAATCACTGGCAAACTCTTTTCGGTCTTTTCAGTCTCACCAACACCACGAAGACTGCTATGTCTAATAAGAGTATTATTATTATTATTATATGCTGGTAAGCTTCTTCTATCTCTAATAACAGTCTTTGGTAGCTTTATAGTATGAAATTTATTATAAATATTAAGATTGTAATTGTTTTTATCGGTTAATGACGATGAAGAATTATTATCTTTGTTGTTATTATTATTATTAATACTATTATTATCGTTGTTGTCGTTGTCAATGTCAATTTCTTCTTCTTCTTCTTCTATAGCAAAAACGCTTTGTTTATCATCATTATTACCATTAATACTATAAAATCCAGAATCGATAGTTCCACCAGGTGAAGGAGGAGAATTAATTATTTTATAATTTTTTGAAAGATTTTCGGACAAATATACTGAGTGTGGACGTGTTTGAATACTATTATTATTGTATGGTGGAATGTGTAATGGTGAGAGAATGAACGAATGTAGGAGAGTGGGGGAGAATGGATGTGAAGGGGTGGGAGAATGTTGAAAATGGTGGAATTGTAGAATAATTAAAATTAATTTAAAGAAAAAAAATATTAATAAATTAAATTAAAATTTAAATTAATTAAATTTAATTAAAATAATAACACAAGATAAATTAATGATTAACATACCGCATTTTTATTATTATTTTTTTCTTTACTTTTTATAATTCGTTGTAGTTGTTAGTTTATTCTTCCTTTGCAATTAATTATTAATCCCTATCAATTATTACTATGTTATATCAAAAATTCCTTCCTGAGAAATTAGTTTTAATAAAGTAAATAGAAAAATTTGATAATTAAATTAATATAAATAGTATGTGATATGTGTGTGTAATGGACAATATTGAATAATTATGTAAAGAATAACAATTAAATAAATGCTATCATATAATAAGTTTAGAAAAAGATAAAGTAATTGAAGGTAAGAAAATTGGTAATGATGAATGAAAAAAAATAAAAGATGAAAAGTGAGAATGAAAGATGAAAAATGTAAGTGAAAAAAAAAAAAAATGTAAATATGAAAAAACGTTAAATGTAAAAATGAAGATTAATATAACTATAATAACTATGACAATTATGATGACAATGACAATGATAATGACAAATATAATAAATAATATACAAATAATAATAATAATAATAATAATAATATGTATAATTTATGTAAGTGTATATATGATATAATAAAAGTTTTGAAAAAAAAAAATTTCGAGAAAAAAAAAAGAAAAAAGAAATAAAAAATTTTTTTTGGTTTCTTACCAATTCAAAGACAACTTATATATATATATTTATGTGCGTATATTATGAAACTTTTTACAGATTAAAGTTTAAGTAAAAGTTTGACAAAAATTAAATGTTTTTGTTGAGGAAAATACTACGAGAGGAATATAAAAAACGAACGCCAAATTATACTTTTGAAGGACCCTTTTTAATGATTCTAATAAATGTTAAATTTTAAATTATAAGGTGTTTTCAATTAATATGTTCATTATTATTAAATTAAATTAAATTAAATAAATTAATTAAATGATAAATTGAATTAAAAGTAGAAAAAGAAAAGGGTATTCCAAGTATATTTATATTAAAGAGGCAAAAAATAATAATAAAAATTCGTTTAAACCACAAAAAGAAATTCCAGATCAACGACTTACATATATACTTTTTTTTTCCCTTTTTATTGTTTATAGTAGACAAAATAATTTATTTATATATATTTATATTACTGTGGAATTGTTACATCACCTTTTTTACGAATTAAAAAATTTGTAGATAGATCGATTATTGAAATTTGGGAATTGAAATTGTTGAAAAACGGAGGATTGCGATTGGTGTTTAATTTTTATATTTTTTGAGATTGTAACTGAATTTGAATTTGAATTTGAATTTGTGGTTGAAATTGGGAAGTTGAAATTGAGGCTGAAATTAAAAAACCTTTCTTACTTTTTTCTTTTTTACTTGAAAAAAAAAATATAACTTGGATTAGTGTAACCTTATGGTTTGATCAGTTTTAGGCATTAATATTAATGACTCGTTACATTATAAACATAAATAATAATAATAAATAAATAAAACATTGTTAATTTAACTTTTCGACCTTATTTAGAAATGTTAACGAGTCCTAATCAAGTTTTTTTTTGATAACTAATAATTTAATTTAATCGCCATTGGCTAACATAGCTGACTAGCTATCGCTATTAATTTTGTGTAATCACGTGCAAATTGCCTACACATTAATATTTAAATAATAATAATTAATAAGCATTCATGCAGTCAAAAATTTTGCATTAATGATAAACGTCTAAACATAAATATAATAAACAATTACGAGTTTTTACTTTAATTGGGTAATTCATGTGGGCATAGTTAATTCAATCTATAAAATCCAAGAATATTAATATGAATTAGATAATAATTTTTTATCTTTATTGGAATTTATAGGTTTGGGGACATTTGGGAATTTTAATAATTTGCTAGTTTAAATAGCACTTGAATAATTATTTTCAAAATTCAATCATATTAAAATCTCTCCAGCAGATGGACGCTTGTTTTGGTTTCCATACACTTGTATGCTAATTCAATCTAAAACTTAAGATTATTGTCCGAGAATCCAGATCTTGCAAGACTTAGGTCATGTGCCAAATTACTAAAAGGCTGTTGACCAGTTGATACTACAGACACACGCATATATATTATATCTAATGCCATTGTACTGTACATGGTTTATCTCTTAATAATTCCGGTGCATAATATGGCAACAAATATATATATATGATAAATCCTAAATCTGCAATATTGTCATTATGAACTATATATTTTTTTTATGAATACTTTTTAAACCATTAATCATTCAATAAAGAATCACAATTTTGTTCTCCCATTGGTAATTGTTAAAAACTTTTGCAAATAATTTTGAAACTTCCATCTTTTATATAAATCCATCTCAAATAATAATTTACCCCATCAAGAAATTCATTACAATATTTTCACCGCTTAACCAAGTAGCTTTAAAAGTCGTCTTCGCCTATCTTTTCAATATTTATTAAATAATCTACTGAAGATACCATATCCTGTTGCTTCATATTGTGTATATCATCTGTTGTTTCACTGACACTAGTCCATCATCCTTCAAATTAACAACTGTGTATAACTTGATCTACACTATGAATAATTAGTAATATATCTATCGCAAGTTGGACATTTTGCCATATATTTTTTTCTTTCATTTTTGAATATTCTTGATTTTATCCATTCTTTTTTATAAAATATAATTTTTTTTTTAGATTAAAGTAATAGAATAATGAATCATTTGAAATTTAGCCGCAAATGATTGAACGTTACATATTTTCACAAAATAAATTGAATAATAATTTTTTTCTAGCTCTCTTTCCTTTGTTTCAGATGGTGGCGATCCTTTCTATTCAATTTTTCTTGAATGGTTGTTGTAATTCGTCTAGCATTTGTTCCAACCATTTTGAGTAGCATCGGGAAGTCAAACAAATTAAACCACAGAATATACAAATTCAAAGTCACTTAGTCCCGCAACTTTTTATTGGTCTTGTAGATCCTCCAAAAATGGGAATGTAACACCAAAAATAATTGTGTTTTTGCCAAGACCTTCTTTTCTCTATATACAAAGTTACGATTTCATTTTGTTGTTATGTCATACATGCATGTTGTGGAGGAGGATTTGGGCACGAGTTTACTATGTTCAGCCCTAAAATCAACAAATAAGTTAATATCAAAAATAAATAAATTGAAACAAATAAAAATTTGATTTTTTTCGCTCATATCACAAGTTCTTTTATCACGTGAGCTGCCAAATGCAACGCTAAATCCATTTATTTCAAATTTAATAAAAAATAGACCTGCTATCACCAAAAATATATTTCATGGAAATACATTTCATTCTATTACTAATGTCAATATTTTAAATTTCCAACTAGTAACAAATGGTATATATATATATATACATATACTAGAAAATATCACATGATCAAACAATGCATTTTTTGGAGATTTTCCCTCAAAATTGGCGATGTGGCGCAAAAAGTTGTGACTTTTGCACTTGGGACAATTGATGAAAAGAACCAATTTGGAATGATTTTCCTAATGGAAAAAAAATTTAAAAAATGTCATTGAGTGGATTATTTGCAATCAATAAACCAACAGGTAGAACTTCAACCTTTTACTTGAATGGGATTAAAAGAAATTTTTTTAAAGAAGAACAAAAGTTAGACAGTACTAGAAATAAAAAGAAAGGTATAAAAATAGGGCATGGTGGAACCTTAGATCCATTAGCTTCAGGTGTTTTAGTAATTGGAATTAATGATGGTTGTAAGAGTTTGAGTAAATTTTACGGTTGTGATAAAGTCTATAGCGCAACAGGATTATTTGGCTTTGCTACTGACACTTATGATTGTCAAGGGGAAGTTATAAAAGAAGCATCAGCTGATCATATTACCAAGGAGAATCTAATTCAAGCAATATCAAAATTTCAAGGTGAAATCAAACAACTTCCACCTTTGTAAGATATAATTATTTTTAAAAATAATGATAATAATGATGATGATGATAATAATAATAATAATAATAATAATAAATCCTAGACTAGAACAAATAGATCGATTATTTAAACAACCTAATAATATTATGCATTTATATTATTATTTTTTGGGAATTGAAAAATAAAAGATATTCTGCATTAAAAATGGATGGACGTAGGTTATACGATTATGCACGTAAAGGTCAATCACTTCCACGAGAAATAGAACCTCGGCCAATAACAATTCATTCCATATCCCTATTAGAGTTTACCACAGATCAAATCCCAACTCCAACTGCCTCTCTACTACAATTAAAGTCATCACCATTACCATCACCGTCATCAAAACATCCAATCTTTAAGATTCACATAAGTTGCAGTGGTGGGACCTACATTAGATCGTTGGTTCATGATATTGGAGAAGCACTTGGTAGCTGTGCGCATGTAATAGAATTGAAAAGAATTCAACAGGGTGAATTTCTACTTGGTAGAGATACCATTGAATGGGATGAGTGTTCTGACATTAATAATATTATTAAAATATTGAGAAATTGATTTTGAAATAAGATTAATAATTATTATTCATTCTAATGAATAATTTTAGCATAAAGTTTATAAATAAATATATTGCATTTAAAGTCAAATATACGCTACCTGGAAGAAAGTGTCCATAACAAAAAAAAACTAAAAAATATATCATTTTGTAGACTATATTTTGTCACGATTAATTAAAATCACAATCACACTTAAAAGAACTTTAGTTTTTGTTAAGAAAGTAGCAAAATTAGTTTTTGTCTGTCAACGAATTGTAACTAAACTTGTGTTAGAACAAATTTTCTTCACATAAAAAACAAAAATATAAAATTTGTAATTTTGGTATAATCCATGGATTCACTCATTCACAGATCGCAATTAATAATAAATTAATCATGATAGAAAATCTTGAAACATTAAATTTGCATGAATATTTATGGGTTAAATAAATTAAATAAACTAATGTTATTATTACAACATAAAACCTGCCAAACTGGTGGTTTAAACCGAACCAATTCTCCAATTCATCAATATTTTAATCTCGATCTTTTCATTTAATGTTTATTAATTAATTAAACGTGAATAAAAATGATTATTAGTAATGACTAATGAGTAATAAATTCCAATTAATTAGTACATAATGAAAAATTAATTCACCTTTGTTTTAAAAGAAGAGAGTTAAAATCAAGATTTAATGAACTACTATCATTACTTGTATAAAATTTTAAGTTTTTAGATTTAGTAATTTCATCATCTAATATTCTACTTGTATGATATGCTTCTGGATGTGATTTGTGTACTTGTTGCAAATTATCACCACCACTGTTACTGCTGCAATTATTATTAAAATCAATTTTATTTATTTTTTTAACTTTAGAAATTTGAAGAATATTTTTATTAAACTACTGTTGTTGTAAATAATTTTCAAGCTTTCATTTTAGGAATTTTTCCATGTTTATTATAAGCAAAGTTCAAAAGCTCTCTAATAGTTGGTCTTTTTGATGGATTCATATCCAAACACTTCTGCATCATTTGCCAGGTAATATTGGTGGTCGTGGATCTTTACATATATCAAAAATTAAATGACGATTATGAGTTCTATTGTCAAATGGTGGAAGACCTACAAATATTTCCCACATTAATATCCCAACATTGTAAACATCTGTTTCTTTTGTATTATTTTGTGCCTCTAAGTAGCTCAGGTGCAAGGTATGATACAATTCCATATATTTTATTTAATGATTTTTCATCAACTGGTCCATATAACCCCAAATCTGTAATAATATATTACTATTATGTAAATCACAATTGAATTAAATCTTTTTCATGTAATGCAGTACATAACCATCTAAAAATCGCAATTCTATTTTTTAATGTCGATTTAGAATGAATTTTTTGTAAATATTCTCTTAAGTTTCCTTCCGATAAATAATTTAATTTTAAACAAGGGTAAACGACTGAAATAAAGTGAATAAAGAAACTTTATAGCAAAAGAGCTGTCTTTATTTAATTACAGTTATCTGGTACCATTAAGTGTGCTCACAGATTCGTAATTGAAAACCAAAGTAAATTTGTAAACTAATTAATTGAATTATTAATTGACAAGAGTAGCCCAAAAGTTGAGCCATAATTGTTAATTAACCAAAATGATACCTTGCAATACTACCATTTAACAAGAATCAAAAAATTGTAAAAAGTTTATTATAGAAATATTATTACAAGAAACAAATAAGGATAAAATAAAATAGATAAATAAAAAGAAGATAATAAATTTATGGTGGTGATTAAATTAGTCATTCATTGCTTTACTAGAGTTTAATTGATTAATTGATATTGTTAGTAATAATTAACAGATAGTAATTTCCAATTAATTAATAAAGAAATTTTTATTCACCTTTGTTAACATTTTAGAGTAAAGAATTAAAATCAAGATCATTTAACGAACTATCATTACTTGTATAAATTTTAAAGTTTTTGGATTTAGCAATCTCTTCATCTAATATTCTACTTGTATTATATGCTTCTGGATGTGATTTGTGTGCTTGTTGCGAAGCATTACTACCACAATTAGTAATATTATTGCTATTATTATCATTAATAATTTCTTCAAGTTTATTTTTAGCAAAATCACGCAGCTCTCTACTAGTTGGTCTTTTTGATAGATCCACATCCCAACACCTCTGCGTCATTTGTATATAATCATCAGACATTTCAGGTAATATTGGTGGTCGTAAACCTTCACATATATCAAGAATCAAATGATGATTGTGAGCTCTATCATCAAATGCTGGATGGCCTGCAAATATTTCCCACATTAACATCCAACACTATAGATATCAGATTCTTTGGTGTTCTTTTTGCCTCTAAGTAGCTCGGGTGCAACATATGATACAATTCCATATACTTTATTTGATGACTTTTCATCAACTGGTCCACATAATCCCAAATCTGTAATACAACAACAACCTCCTTTCAATAATATATTGCCACTGTGTAAATCACAATGGATTAAATCTTTTTTATGTATATCATCTAATGCAGTACATAAATAATAAAAGATTGTAATTCTGTCTTTTAATGTTAAATTTAAATGATTTTTTTGCAAATAATCTCTTAAATTTCCCTCTTGAATGTAAGGTAAAACTATTGCATAATTTCCATTATCTGGGAATTTAGTTATACCATAACACTGAACAATTGATGGGGATTTAATTTTACAATAATTCACTGCCTGAGAATAAATAAAATCAATTAGTATTATATTATACATTATTGTTTTAAATAACAACCACCAACCTCATCAAAAAAGCCTTTTCCTGGATTACTTGAATCATTTAAACTTTTTAATACTACATATTGTGCTCCTAAATAACTAAATTCCTTTTTATTTTCATCATAATCAACAATACTTCCTCTTGTCCATGTAGCAATATAAATTGAACTAAATCCACCTTCAGTCAATTTTGTCACTTCTTTAAATTGCTCAAAAGGTATCCATTCTAAAATATAGTATGGCAGAGAGATTTCATTTGACATTGTTGAATAAAATCATCAATTATATTATTTCCAGATATCAAAGTGGTGCTCTGTAATTGTAATCTAATGCAACCTTCACAGAATCTATCAGAGTATCTTGTCAATTTACATTTGTTACATTCTTTTGATTTGCCCAATTTATCTCTTGCATTTTGTAATTCAAAATGATAAATAAACTTTTCCTACAAAATTCTTTTTCATTTTCAGAAAGCTCCTTGTTTTTTTTTGACTAACAAAAAAAAATAATCTTTTCTACTTTCTCTATCAGAATTAACCACTGCATTATTATGCATTTTACCATAAATTTTAAATACAAATTCCTTTCTTTCTAGTGATAATGATGATAATCGGTTAACATATGACATTATATAATATAAAAATATAAAATTTGACTTGGTGTTTTAATGAATAGCGGAGATTTTTTCTTGGGAATAACAGTTATTAACATATTTTATTTAACGTATATAGAGAAGAAAAGGTTGCCGTGTTACGGTGCCTTACTAAATGTTAATTTCTGTGTAGGTTTTTATATTTTGCGTAATATTTCTTTTTTTGTTTCCCTAATCTAACGACTTTTACCCAATTTTGAAATGTTTGGTTGCACGGGAAATAATTCGTTGTAAAGAAGATTTGTGTAGATAAATTCAGTTCAGTTACGGTACGAGTCAACGCGAATCTTCTAAACGTCCTGTTTCTCAACTGAATTTTTGTGGAAGGATGAGAGTCGTTTTTTTTCTTTGCTGCGTGGCTTGAAATTTGTTAATTAACAAGATTTTAAGTTAAACATCGCGACGAAACATGCAGAATTTATTTGCAAGTATTTTAATATTAATATTAATATAATAAACCAAAAACAGGACAAAACGACGGATTTTTTTCTTCTCAGGAGCAGTAAACGTCAATTAACTAAATATTAATATTAAATAGCTTGTTTGTTAAACCTTTTTTTTTTAATATATATTACAAAAAAAAAAGAATACAAATGCAGAAAAGATTGTTTTGTTCCCCATAACATGATAAATTAATTTTTTTTTACCGCTTTATCAATTTGCAACCCTTCAGTATTAGCCTTTTCCAATCTTTTATATTCTTCTAACACTGCTTTAGAAACCTTTAATTGAGCAGAGTCAAAACTGAGAATATGCAAGTTTTTTAACGAAGGAGCTCGGCTCATTGTAATGTATATTTGTCCTTCAGCAAATATGTTCTTCATCAACATTCAACAACGCTTTATATATGGCCCAAATGGCCAGCAATTTGATTCAATTTTTTTGGCTTCCACTAATTACACTGTCAGTGGAAGAGATGGACTTAATGAAGCACGTAGATAAAAAAAATGGATGTTATGTTTTTTTTTAACGAAAGAATATTATGAATTTGATTAATTAATATTCCTTCATTTTTATTCATTTTTATTACTCGATTTAGAAGGCATTTCTTAAACTAAAACTTAATTCTATTTTAAAAAATTTATTTTTATAAATTAATTAAAATGTTGAAACATTTAACGATGGCTTTAATTAAACATAAGTTTATCTACTATTATATAAATCAAAGGGACGGAAAGGATGCAATTCATAGTCGGCTTAAGCTTTTTTTATTGGTCCGACATCTTTTCTTTCTTTTATTATAAATAGAACTTTCATCCGTTAAAAAAAATTTTGGCAGCACTTAACTTGACTAAACGTTAACATTAACGTAAATGATGACATTGACATTGATGTTGATGTTGACGTTAACTTTAACTACTCTATATACAGTGCGGATCATCTATATTCAAAAGTCAAAATTTTTGAAATATTATGTGATCCACACATTGGATTTTAAAAAACCCACCACTATTCAATTCAGCTTTAAAAAGGAGTCTATTAATTATTAATAACTATATTTATTACAAATATATAATTACAAATAATTTTTATTAGATATCATATTAATAACTATTGATTTATTACAAAGATATAATTACAAAATATATAATTACAAATAATTTTATTAGATATCATGTTAATAAATATTGATTCATTACAAATATATAATTACAAATAATTTTATATCATGTTAATAAATATTGATTCATTACAAATATATAATTACAAACAATTTTAATATTAATAAATATTGATTTATTAAAATATATAATTACAAATAACTTTACCAATATTTAACTCCATTTTTAGCATTTGTAAGCATTCTACCAATAATTTCTTCATCTATATTTAGATTTTCAATTGATTCTTGGTCATTATTATTTTCATCATTTTCATTGTTATTTTCATGTTCATTTTCTAATTCATCTACCATTAATATATCTTCACCTTTTTCTAACCTTTTTAGATAAGAATTAACATTATCAAATATACCCTTTTTATAAAACTCTGTACAATGCCCACAACTTTTTTCTAATGTTCAAAGCAGTCATAATGGTAACTATGACCACAGACTAATACATCCCCATTATACTTAGGAAGATTTGGATCAAATTTATTGTTACAATGGTCGCATTCACCTGCTTTTGGAACATGTGCTGTATGATATCCAGAGGGAAGTAATTTTATATCTACTTTTTATTTAGTGTGCAGAGTTTATATTTTGTTAATTTATATTTATTATTGAAGATTGGTTGACTGCTATTTAAATTTTCATAAATTGATGAAAAATATTCTATTAAGAAGCAACTTGTTTTTTTCTTTAAATAGCTTAAGGTTGACATGGTATAAGGATATCTTTTAGTATTTGAAAAGGCATTTACAAATGATTCATTTTTATGAGAATCTATTATGAATGCTTCCTGTATAATTGACTCTGCAGAAGAAAGCTTATGTGTTTGGGCTCTTATTCTACTGTGTACATTTTCAACAAAGTAGTCATTAAAATTTACTAATGACTTCTCCAACAATTTGGCAAATGGATGGTTGTTACTTTTCCAGTAAAAGTAATCTGATAAGAAGGCTAATGGAAGTTTATTATAATTTTTTCTTTTCCATCTTAAGAAAAAGGTCCAGATTCTAAAGATTGTTTCTAGATATTGGTCAAAGGCACCTGATCGAAAAAGTATTGCATATATATCTAGAGTTGCTGGAATAATATTATCTAATAGATCTATCATCATCCTATATTCCACATCTTTGGTTTTACCAAATTTTTCTATTATCACATCAGAAATTTCTAGCCAACCATCACATGCAAATTGAAGAATATAATTAATCTTCCATGGTTTGGGTTTTTCTGGAAAATTTGTCTTCCCAAAAACATTACAATATAATTTTTTGAAAAAATCATGATATAGAACAATAACATCTTCATGTGAATTAAGAGAAACATGTAAAGGCCCCAAAATTGGAATAAAGTTTAGTATATGATCCATATTACTTTGTTGATTTTTTAAATACAATGTGATGGCTTTTTTTATAAAAAGCTGTCCTGGAAAGTCAGCTATTACAGGTATTGTGAGATTGTAAACCGTGGACCAACCAATTGACCGTTAATATTGACCAATTAAAACGAACTTACTACGGAAGTCATGTGATGCGCTAAATATTACATCACGATTAACAATCACCTTTCTATATATATTTATTGCAATGGTTGCACGTCATGTTACACGTGTAGATCATTATATCATTTCTATTTTTAACTTATTTTATGACATAATTATTTACTTCGAATTATTAATCAAATTATTTGTAATAGTGACTCATAGGATTAGTAATTATGAGTCAGAGCATTAGTAATTAGCAATTAGTAAGCTAGTAATACAGAAAATAGGA